AGATAAATTTAAAGGGCATCGAGAAGAAGACGTTAACCAAGTTTCATTGAAATCGGTACATTCGTTTAGGCGCTACAGTCTACAGCAACGCAGGTTTTTCGCTCGCCATGTTGAAAGGAAAAGGTGGATAGTAATGTCGATGAAGGAGGATCTCTGATTTTAAATCCAAATTTGAAAAAAAAAGGTCCAGTATTTTCGGATGAAATGCTGGACGGACAAAAAAAGCTATTTGTTTTTCGAATTCTACGTGTCCTGACATGTAAAACCTCAAATTTTGAGAGGGTATTAAGTTTTTGAATTTTTTGTTCGATTACAATGGTTCATTATTGAAAATAATAAACCTAAAACAAGGATAACATATAACTAATGGATAGAGATATAGCGTATAGTGAGCTAGAGGAGCAGGTAAATAAGCAATGGAAAGTGACAGTACAGTTGCTGGATAACGGAATAAACGCCTGACATTTTGCCGAGACGGTCAAGGACTTATTGCGAAAAGCATTTGGATTTCTTGACTCTTTTTACATTTGATGAGTTATTTCTTTGATTGGTTTTCTTGAGGAAGGAATTCAAATACATTACATAAGGATGATATCCAGTATACTAAGCAACTCATATAGACTCCTGTCAGATTCCTTCTAAGAATGTTTCCACGAGTATAATTGTTGGATAATTCATATTATTATTAATTTATAGTAATATATTACTATATTGTTTTAAAGTAAAATTCAAATATTTTCAACAAGTCGAGTGTTTATATATAGGAGATTTTATAAATTTGTTGATTTATTAGCATTAATAAGAAAAATGAAGTGCTTATAATATAACAAAAAAAAAAAAATACCAATGTGATCTCGAATAAAATAAATAAAAAGAATTGAATAAAGAAAATAAAAATGATAAAACATTTATGTGAAATTTCTATATTGAAAATTCGAGTATTCGTCAAAAAAAGGTTTTTTTGTAAAAGCCTATAGCCGACGAGTTTATGGGACATGTCGACCATCTATGAAGTCAATTATTATAATTTTTATAGTTTAATTAAAAGAAGAAATCAAAATTCTTAATTATCCATCTATCATAATGGTTATTGTTGTATCATGATCTGTTGAATCCATCTGTGAGCTGGTAATACTTCGATGCCCCAGTCAGTCCGTGAAAAGGTTGATGTTACGAAACCTACAGTACCATCAGTACTGATGATGTAATAAAACCACCCGGCACCTACAAGAACTTAAATCTCGGAACGTTGAATATTTTACATCAATGTGTAGTTGCAAAGCATGTAAGGTGCTTTTAGATTAGGTGATACAGGGATATATGAAATAGAAACCGTGGGCCGCAAGGAAATCCGATGAACCATTGGAAAGAGGAACCATTCTATCCATTATTCCTTTTGTAAAAGAGTAGTAACATCAGGCATAATATAATTAACTTCCACTCATTAATCTTCTCATTTATTTAATAGAATAAAATTAAGTTTTTCATTTATTTATTTTTTAAAACGAAATCTAGGCGTGTGGCACCAAAATAAGCTTATACCTGTCTAAAGGAGTTATAAAATTACTAGGTGTCTTAATACCGAAATATATATATCCAAACATTCCAAAACATTACATCATTATTTCGTGCTGTAGCCCTAGCACTAATACCCTTCAATGTGGCTGACTGGATCAATACTCAATAAAATCATTAAATTGATTTCAATAGATTAGCTTCAATATTTTTATTCTTAAAAAAGAGTATGGATGGAAATATTGGACAGCAATATCTAAACACGTAGTATTGATAGTATTGAAATATATAAAAAAATCCAAAAAATATTTTTATATTTTTTATCGAAACTATATTTTTTTATATATCGATGTTTTTAATTTATAAAAGAAAAGTGGAAGGAGTACAGGGTTAATGTTGAAGCGAAGACTTATACTTTTAATATCTTTAATATTAACAGTCCAATCTATTGCTTATAAAACAACCAGTATCAATTCAACACCATTTACCGATAAAGAAAACAAAAACGTATTCCAAGGAACAGTCCGAAGAGAGCTTAAAGGACTGGCCTGCAAGGTTTTATTTTTTGACTTCTAAATTCACAAAATAAAGTAAAGATAACATAAAATATATTGCATAATAATTAGAAGAAGAGAAAAAAATTAATTCTATTCCTCAAAATAAAAAAATATAATAATAACATCAAAATTAAATTAATAATAACTGAAAACTGAAAAGAATTAACATTACATACAAAAAAAAAACTTATTATTAAGATATAAAAAAAAATTATTTAACCAATATTTCTCAAATATTTTGTAATTCATAAAATAATCTCATTCGTATAGAATAACTAGTGAGCCACCTTTCCACGTAGTCATTTTTTTTTTTTTTTTTTTTTTTTTTTTATCCATTGTCGATCGAAAATATCGTCTAATTCTATAAGTAAAACATCGAGTTGCCGGACCTCAAGTAATGGAAGGATTGAGAAACTTTTCTCATTAAGAAATACATGAGGGCGAAACCCTTAAAGCTTTGCCTTAAATAAATAATAATGTTGCGGAATAATATCCCCGTTATCTGGCTGAGGATTGCATGGACAAAGAATAATTGATGTGTTGTAGCTCCTGCATTCATGTGCTCATACCTATGAGTAAAATGGACTAATTATTATTAATGTAGCGTAGGTATGTTGTTCAGTTGTTGACCTTCTTTGCGGAACCTTGAACGTAACGGATACTTTATGACCAGAGGTTTGTGCTAGGGCACTATCCCCTATAAATTTTACTAATTCATGGTATGATTAAAAAAAAGAATTAGCTTACTGCATTTTGTCATTGTTAGAAGGATAACCGAAGGGTAGGGTACATAATAATACATACTATATACATAATATGTACATCTAATGGGACACGTGATCCAGTCAGTCACCTGCCAAACGATCACATGTAGTGCATACTTTCAAGATCACGTGCTTTTTCTCTTGTTTTCATAACAGTACTTGTTTATTCTTATTCAATTAGAAAAACCAAGCTGTTAATTTAAAAAAAAAAGTATTTTTCTTTCTTTATTACTTTCACTTACCTACATATGCAATATATAGTAAGGGTAAGTATTGCTTACCCTTATCAAATACATGTTTTGAGGTCTCCTGAGTCCAAATAAACAAGTCGCGCAAAATAGTGTGTGGGATCAGTCTAGCTGAAAATCAAAATGTCGTATGAAAGTGAAATTTCATATTTAAGGTTTGGATGTTACAGCAACTTTATAACATCGATTTAACACATTTTTATGATATTCTCAAAAACGACTTTAACGATTGTGATTAAACTAAGTATATCAATGTATTATTAAGCAGTTTTTAAAATAATGTAGATTCTATTCTCATTAATGTTCTCTGACAGGGCTTAAATGGCTAATATTCAATATTAGCTTCCTCTGAAGTACCTTTTATTTGAAATAATTAACCATTTCACATTAATCTTTAATAAAAAAAATAGTTAAATATAAACCATGAAAGAATTGGATAATTAAGTAAAGGTGAAATGATAGATCGTAACGGATAATAGTTGTAATAAAGGAATCAAAGAAATACGAGCTTGCCCGAGCTCACTTGAGCACGCCCGAAAGATTATAACAGGGTTCGATACGTAACATGAGCTTAATATCATTCGGACTCCGACAATATTATTTTCATATACATATGCCTTTTTCATAAATGCTATCGTTGGTATAATTTAATATCTAATTGTATCGATTACTGCGATATAAAAATTAAAATTTGTAAATAAGTATAGCTTCTATAATTTTTACTTTCACTTCCCCTATGTCTGAAAATACTTATTTCTGCTAAGAAGAGGGTGGTAAGTGTAAGTCGTGTGATGCGCGCACCAGATTTTTTCAACTAATAACAATGTTTGTTTCTAGACTAATTTCGAATTTAGTTCTACTCGTATAGATTAAAGTCGTACTGAATATGTGACCATGACGTACCTATAAAGGGATAAAATAAAATTATATTTATATAAATTGTTTTGTTCTGTCTTTATTGTTTCGAAATGAATGAAACTGATGTTCCACTCGGTATAAATGAGAAAGATTTGTACGAGCCCTTTGCCAGTTCAAACATCGACTCAGTGTTGTAAAACGAATTCAAATAAATTTTTGTAATTAACTTTTCTATCATAATTTCCCGCAATAATCTTCATTATTTATAAGTTTTATGATATCGAATCCCCCCTCCCCTGCAAATTGTATCAATTAACACATCTTTCAAGGGCTTACGATATAATTTGTGGTTGGCCAAATACTCTAGTTATATTGTACGGTCTTTTATTCAATCAATACGTTACCCCCAAATACTGTACTGGTTTGTAAACGTAATATAATTGCTTGTCAGTCTCCACTTAAAAATCATCCAAAAATACAGTACTTAATTGAAGTTTTTAACTAAACCATGTTTTAAATGAAGGTTTAAATGACCTCTATATGATTCTTTCTTGGTCCTTTTGTGAAACATGCATCGACTATAATTTGGGTAATGACTGGCCATTACGGGAATCAGGATGATGATTGAAAAAAAATAAGTAAGAATATAGAAGAACCATCTTCCGGAGTGCTCCTAACCTTCAGATTTAAGTATTCCATAGTTTTCATCGTCATAGATAAAGTTATTGGTTTGTGTATCATTGTTAGTCTATTTAATTTGTTGTTTATTACGTTGAAGTTTGTGATTATGTCTGTCAAATTCATGTTTAAACAAGTTGAAACATGTAACAATTCATCTAATAGCTTTTTCTTTCTTGGTGAATCAGTCCAATTCAATAAATCCTCATTGTCATAATTTCTATTCAATCAATTCATTGCATCCTTTTTATTTTTTCTGAATGTTTTAAAAATATTTATCAAAAATTCTATTTATGGTCACAAAGAAAATACTAGTCGTTTATAAAATATTTTCTAAGTATATTAATAGACTAGGAACTAATAATACTTTATGCTTTCAGAATTATGCTGTTTTTCCTACTAACATGCCTACTGCAGTATACGACAGCCTTCACATACAAAGTAAGTCCTCTCCATTATTTTCTCAAATTATGAAAATCGTAAAAGTTCTTCCCTAGAACCGTATAAAACTGAAAAACTTGAAATCAATATAGGTTGTAACACAATAATAATAAATAGTATAGTGCATATATGTTAAACAATAAATTAATGTTTTTCAATTATATATTTCAGTAATTTTTAATCAACACACAGGTTCTTTTGAGTGACACAATATCAAAGACCATAAAAACTTTATATAAAAATATAAAAACTTTCAGAAAAAAATCACAACTCAATTAATATGGACTTATACCTTATTAAAGTAGCAAGTTTTCCTAACAGTGAGGTACCTGCATTGAAATCGGAGGGTGGTACAAAAAAGTCGTGAATAATTCATGGTATTATGAAAAACAGAACTTAACTTACTTAAAACTCCGCTTTTAATGGTTTTAACAAAGACAAACTCGACTTACTTTTGAAGTAAAGTTTATCTAGTTTACTATGAAACAATTATTACTTACTTAAAAAATACAAAACTGAAATTTCTTTCTTTTCTGAGGAAAATCGGACCATGGTTAATTTAAACTTTTTTGTAGCACATTCCAGGGCTGTTTTCTATAATTTTATTCTTCGTACACAGATACTGTTTAGACAAATTTCAAAGTTCTTTAAGTTGGAATGTTGATAGTAAAATGTTTAGATATACCTGCGTGTAGTTTTCGCTATAATACCTCTAACTACGGTGGACTGTACACCGTGCTCATTTTACGCTCCAAGCATATTCTTTTATATAATTAATAGGAAAATAGTTACGTAGTAGGGAAAAATTTGCGAAACCTCCTCAGGCAACTAAAGGAACTATTGTGAGTTAACTGAGAAAAGGACTCGGAATAAAATGACATTTAAAAAATATTGTAATATATGATTGTTATAGAGCAAGAAGTGGTTGCGGTCGTTGGGAAATTGGGAGCTCCTGCTGACCATGGCACTTTCACTATTACACAACGCTCGTTGCTAGCTCCACGCTCTCCGTAGCTCCACAGACCCCTCATCCTCCCCTTACAATAGCAATCTATACATTCATTGGCGGTTAATATGAAAGTAAATGGACATTTACGTGTTTTGCCTGTGTAAGGTATCATCATTGGCAGCAAAGGGTCTTTTGTTCCATGTATATATGAATGAAATCACTCCTATATTAACCAAAATTTTACTTCTCTTTCCGTATTTACATTTTAGGTTACATTAACGATCAAAATTATTTAAAATTGATAATATATGAGTGTTGACGATTTAAAGAGAAAAAAAGATGTATTAAGATGTATGTCATCAAAAGACTAAATATGAACAAGGGTTTGTCCATGTTATTATATAAATTGAAAATCTAGCCTATTAATTTTTTCATGCAGTCATACTAGCCACCTATATCATTTAAATTCAATCAAATAATTTTATTTCACTCTTAGGGTACTGACATTTCATAAATATAGGCTCATGAGACTAACCGAAATAATAAAAATAAAATAAATACAGGAATGGCTACAGAGAGGCCAGCCGTGGAGGAGTGCCCTTCTACCGCTGAGGCCAATGTGTCCTTAGCCAAGAGGCACACCCACAAATCCTTGAATACTCACTACCTAACAACTTATCCAACTCCATTGTCCCGGCTCATTTCAATATACATAAGTACTTTTAACTTACTTAGGGCCTACCGTTGTTTTATATATTGTACAATGCTTCAATCATATGTATCCACTTGACTTCTGAGGAATTGGGACCATTATAGGATTGGGCAAGTTCATAAACTCAGTGGTAATTCTTCTCGATGCAATCCAACAATGGATTGAATCAAGAACGGATGGACCTGTTTATGATGACTTTAGGAAAGACATGCCGGATTCCAGTAGAAGTTTAACACTCTTGGAAAGTTACGAAATACATGAAAAATAAAACAATATATTTAAAGAATTACCTACTAACTGAATTATCGAATTTCAATGTGGAAATAAATGGACGGAAAGTAAACTGAATATATGAAGTAGTTTGAGAAATAACGACTCCGAAGTTATAATGAGGCTACTTCGATTGACTCCAAGAAATTGTCCATTTTGATAGAGTTTTAATGCTCATTGTAATAGTGTTCGATGATTCTAATCATTGAAGAGAAGAATGGTTGGGATGATCAGTCAAACAATTATATTTATTTCTATATTTGCCTATGGAACGCTGAACTATCAGTGTCTTAATCGAAAATTATTAGAACACGTTGAATTCCATTGATGAGCTTAGCGCTGAGTTCAAGGAATTGTCCCTTTTGATATAGTTTTAATGCTCATTGTAATGGTATTCAATGATTCTAACCATTGAAGAGAAGAATGGTTTGGGATGATCATTAAAAAAAATAGTTAGAATTTTTTTTTTTTTTTAATGATAACCCCTTTTTATTGATAACTATTCTTCTCTTCAATTATTCACTACAGCCAACCATCAATCCACAATTATGTTTGTAATCATTGTTCGAAAAGTGGTTTTTATCTAATAATTTTAAGAAAAATCAATCGATTAGCCATTTCCTATGTCTAAATTACACGGATTGCATCAGATGTAGGGTTATATCCAGGTCATTGAACAGACAGACAGTTGGATAATGAGGGTGCTAGGAATGGGGGCATGGTTACACTATTGATCATTCCATCCTATGTTTTATCGACATTCCTTGACTAATTAGGATTTTCCTAAATCTGGTAATTGCCATCAGACATTCTTTTCAAGGAAAGATTAAACTTCTTTCGGAAAAAATATTAGGCGCACATAACGCAACTTTCACCAAATACCCTACTTTCAGTAGAAATTAATTATAAATAACTAAACTTAATATAAAGTATGACAAGTCTGTGAACGATATATTTCCGGTTTGTCGCGCTGAAAATAAATTTTAAACGTTTCAATTTGCTTCCACGGAACTAAAATTCTTAGTATTTTACGGTTATCGTTATAGTCGTTTTAGAGGAAACTGTAAATACGTGCAAAATCGATAATGTAAAGTGGCACATTCAGCCAGTCGAGTTTAGCGAAAAAGTTGCTTTAACATCCCAGACGTAATGTACCTATCTTAAATAAGTGATTCCAGTTTGGTGCAATTTTTTATTTTTGAGATAGGCTGTTGATACACACACTCACAGACCATTTTGCGAAATTTAGTTATTCGCATTCAGATGACCTAGAAACGTTATTTCCGTTGAAAACTCGAATCTGAAATATTTATTTCCCAATCGCAATACTTTCACTTATTATATATATCATATAAGGTAAGTGAAAGTAAAAACTGGGGATATGGTCTGGTTTAGTAATATTTTAATGAAAAAGTAAAATAAATAGGTACTTTTAACTTTTTAAGTAATAATATAAATGGTTTATAATAATCTCCTGAATGATGAAGGACAAATATTTGTCAATGATTATTGAAGATTGGAGTAAGATATAAATAAAAACGACTCGATTTGAAGGGTCAAATCATTTCCACTAATGGATAGTGAGACAGTTAATCTTAAATTAAATAGAGAGATAGAAAGAGATAATTACAATAAATGTAAGTGGACAGTAAAAGTAAAACGCTATCTGGGTTGGAATAAATAAATATATTGATAATAAAATTAATTAATTCTAGCTAAAGCTTTACTTTAGAATGTTTTACGTCAATTCGAGAAAATTAAGTACATTTGACAACTGTAATCATTCTGTTGTTGTACTTGAACACTGTTTCTTTTCACTACACTGTCAACTGCAAAGTTCATTCAAGAGATTAGTAAACAAGACTAAACCCGTTGTTTTTGCATCCACCTACCTTTCATGAAATGTATTTATTAAGGGAAAGTACTGCGATCGAGAAAACTTTTTATTCCAAGTTTACAACGTCCAAAATTGTTTCTCACAAAATGGTGTGTGTTAATAATGATTTTAGAACAATTAATGTCTAGCATGAAGTCGTAAGAGACCATGAATAGTGGCAAAAATTGAATGAATAAAGTTTTGTTGTAGTTAATAATTTATACATTTATAAATAAATTGAAGACAAATATTTCGAAGGATTTATTTTTTAAACATATTTATTGAGTGATATTACAATCTGACTCAATTAGGAACATTTATGATATTGTTCAGAGAGCAAATCCACACTCTATCAACAATAGATAAAAATAAATAATACAGAAAAACAATAATACTAAAAGTTCTAAAGAAATTAAATGGAAACATTTAAAGTTAATTTTCATCTTGATGTACTAAATAAACAGTGCATATAATCATTGTATTGTATTGTATAGTGATTGTCGTAAGCATACTAATATTCTTAAACTCTATTGATTTCTGCATAAAGTAGGGTGATAACTGAATATGTTGTGACGTGCACCAGATTTTTTTATATAATAGTTCTCATTTATTGAAACCATTATCTATTTCTGCATTCCAACTAATCTCCATGGCCGATTTTTTTGTCATTTAATAGCTATGCGCGCGACCGACAAATTGGTTCTGAAGAGAAATGAAGAGCCCTGTAATAAGAGAAGTTAGGATAATCCTAGGAAATAAGTCTATAGGAATTATGAATAGTAAAAAAAGTAAAAAAAGCGGACCTGGGGATTTCTAAGCGCGTAAAAGTGAGCGATCCGAGTGACTATTGTTCGATTTGGTTATTTTGTTTGGCCATTTGCTTAAGCTTTTAGCAGAAGGGAAGGCTCTCATTGCTTATGATCAAGGCCCGGATTTTTATGAAATTGCATATTTTTTTTGCGTCATTTTTTTAATCGCTCATCAAATATCTGTGTCTATATGAATGAGTAAACTTGATGAAATTAGCCAAATTCTATTTTGCATATTTGAGTATAAATGCATATAATGGCATATTTGAAGATAAATGCATATTAATTAATTTAATGAAATAAACAGAATATATATGTATATATATATATATATATATATATATATATATATATATATATATATATATATATATATGTCAATGA